AGGGAGAGGAGACCTGGGAGCCGTGGGATGGGGAGGGCTGGCAGCACCGGTGGGACCCTGCAGCAAACCCTGCGCCTACCTCGGCTCCCAGCAATCAACCGCAGGCTCTTGCAATGGAGACGTTTTTAATTTTTAACAACATCAGAAAGGCAAAAACCCCCTTGCGCTGTGTGTAGGCGGTGCCCGGGGGACACGTTGTCGTGCAGGGTAGGTGGGGACAGCGGGTGCCCCCTGTGCCACCCCACCCTCACTGGGATCTGGCTCTGCCCCGGCTCCCGCTGCTGCCTGTGCCCAGGGCTCTGCAGCACACCTATCGCAGTTTAAATAGAATAAATACAGTGAAGAAAACAGTAAAATCTCCAATAAAGAGGCAAAAGGAAAGACAACAGCAGGTCCAGGGGTCCAACCAAACTCCACGTGATCTCTGGATTAGTTACTGAGGAAGTTCTATGAGAGCACATTAAGTTCGCAGCCAGAAACTCTCTTACCACTGTCCTTATATCGAAACTTCATATTCTCTTGTTTCCTGAAAAGAAGGAAAAGCCAGATGAGGGCAGCAGCTGCATTTCGGCATAACCTCCCCATTCACCGGCAGCAAGAAAGGCCCCGGGTGTAATCTTGCCCCAGGACTCACCCCTGTCTCATAAATCGGGTTGTCGAACTCCGTTTCTACCGTGATCTGGCTGTAGGGGTGGGAGTACATGAGGGGCAGGCGGAGGCTGGAGTAGTACCGACACCTGCGAGGGAGACACTGGAGTCACAGGGCTGCACGGCAGGACCCCAGAACAAAACACAACCAGCTCCACCTGCCCGCACTCCCCCACTCCAGCTCCCCACCAGTGTCCCCGGTGCAGGGGCCCAGTGCCTGGCTCCCCAGGACCATGCCCAGGGCTGGGGAGGGCACGGTGATGCTGAGCCAGCCCTGGCCACCTCCCCGCACTGGGGCTCTGCCTCCAGCCCCCCCGCAGCCCAACTGCACACCCCACCTTGTGAGATAGATGTACGCTCCTCCCAGCAGCAAGGAGATGATCAGCACCGGGATGAATATGGCCAAGGCCATATTGCCCCCCTCGAGCGATGTCTCTGCAGCAGCTTCTGCTACTGAAAGGACAAGACCCATGATAGCATTCGCAAGCTCTTTGGGATCCCCTTTCTGTCTCCGCCTCTCCTCCCCCTGCTCCTCCTGGGCTCCACACAGGCTCTGCACGGGGCTCACCCAGCAAATGCATGTCACTCACCTTCCAGGGCATGCTCAAAGCTGTCTTGGTTCACTGGAAGAGAAATGGAGAGTTACTGGTACGTAACTGGGTTTGACTGGATGCCAATAGCTGCTGGCCATGTGGGGAGCCCAGGCCTGAGGATCTCCCTGATTGGTTTGGTCCCAAGCCACGCTGCAAACTTTTTAATAAGCTCTCAGTCTGCGTGAGCACGTAGCCAAGGGTTCAAACGAGGACATATGCACACGGGGCTGAGAGGGCTGGGCAAGAGAGACACTGCGGTGGCACCCTTCCGAGAGTCCTGCTGGTGAGGGATGAGGTCTTCACTTAAGTAATGATTAAGGACAGTTCATCCCTGCTGCTTAGTGGCAACGGGAGGGTCCTCCTGTGTCCAGAAAGCTCACTGAACCCAGACCTCATCTGAACCCAGAGGGTTTCCTGGGACTGAGCTCCCCCATCGCGGCGGGTGCCCAAGGAGAGCATCCCCACCCAGCCCCGGCAAACTGCTATGGGGAGCGGCACAGCAGTTCGAGTGAGCAACGACCCGCACGCCCCACACCGCCAGCACTGAGGGCAGAGGGTTTGCCCCCCGTCCCTGGGGCAGTGGAGCCTGCTCCACACCAACCCAGAAAAGCACGGGTTTCAGATCACTTTATCTCCCAGCTGGAGAACTGCTGGGGGTTTGCAGCCAGACAAAGGTCCCTGGGCTGTCCTGCATTGGGGATAGAGGTCCTGGCTGGCCCCAGGTCCCCCCCAGCCACCCCTCCACTGTTACCTTTGCAGATGGGCAGGGGTCCACTCCAGTGGGATGGCTGGCCAAGGATGCACTTGATGGTGACCTCCCCCATGAGTTCGAAGCCCTCATAGCACATGAAGGTCAGGGACTCTCCCGGCAAGTAGAGGCGTTTATAAAGGATTTGGTAGCCATTTTCTGGCAGTCCTGGGTTATCACAGGCCAGAGACTCCTCAGCTGAAAGGCAACACATCCCTGAGTTGGACCCCAGGACTCAGGCTGCCCAGGGAGAGAATGAGCTTGGAACGTGGTGGAGAAGAACCCAAGATCTCACCCCATCCTGCATTCAGGTAGCTTGAAGCCCTGCACCACCCCACGCAGCTGGGGAAGGAAAGGGCTTCCCAGGACCCACCCTGAGCAGAGGAGCCGAGCTGCGGGAGAGTGGGAAAAACCACTCAAACTTACAGACACAGTGCGGGAGCCGCGAGGTCCAGATGGGCGTCCCGGTCTCACGGCTGTAGCAGGTCAGCAGCGAGCTGCCTTCCAGCACGAAGCCAGGGTTGCAGGTGTACTGGATGGTGGTCCCCACCAGCAGCACTGGGTCGGAGATGAGGCGAGTCGAGTGCTCCACCTCTCCCGGGTCTGTGCAGTACATGACTGGGGAAAAGAGCCCGGCTGAGCGAGGAGCCCCGGCATGGCACTAGGGACCGGCGTGGGTCATGGGGATGTGATAGGCATGGTGGCACGTTGCTCAGGGCACTCACTCTTTTCGCAGAAGGGGGGGTCGCTGCTCCAGCTGAGGTCCCACTGGCAAGTGAGGGTGTCACTGCCCACGATGTCATAGCCTGGGTCGCACTGGTAGGTGATCTTGGCCCCTCTCACCAGCTCCGTGTGCGATGTGGTCTTCCAGCCGTTCTGGATCTCGGGCAGGTCGGAGCAGGAGTCGTTGCGGGACACCTCTGCGGCCAAGAGAGATGCTGGCTGTCACCCACCGAGCGGGACCCCACGGCACAGCCCTCCTCGGAGCCACTGCACATGGACACGAACTCTTCACCCAGCACCTCTTCCTCCCCAGAGCTCTCCAGCCCCTGGCACTGTGAATGGTGCAGCCACAGCCGGCAGCCCAGTCTGCAGTGTCATCCCCTGGGCAGAGAGAAGGGGCAGCAGTGGGAAATGGGGAGTTCTTTGAAACTCTGACCATAATGATGAAAACGAGGCAGTGTCTGTGGTGGGGTCAGGACAAAACCAGCAACCTGGAACCGCCAGCTCCAGCTGCAGGCGCAGGGGAGGAGCAGTGCAGATGCTGCCGTCACAGCTGCTTGGCTCCAGGGAGAGGTTTCTGCCCTGTTCTGCTGCTCTCCCCAGTCCCAAGCCCACCAAGTGCCATGCCCAGGGCTGAGCCTGTCCACCCATGCTGCAGTGCACCGAGGAGGGGACCTGCAACCTGACGGGTGATCTGCATTGCAGCTTGCTCTGCCTTTGTTGTAACTGGGACTGTCAGCAGCGGAGAGAAAACACACTTGGAAGAAAACATGCCAGGGGAAGACAGGCAAGGGGAGAGACCACAGGCAGCCATGGGGAAGGAGTGCCCTTCCCAGTCCTTGTCCCTTTCTTGTGCATCAGCTGTCCTGGTCTGCAGACATGGCTGCGCAGAAGGATGATGCAAACAAACATCTGCAGATGTAGCCTAAGACTCTCCAGAGCTGTGAGCTGTGAACATCCATCTCAGGAGTCCACCCGGGGACTGGCTTCAGTGACCTCTCCTAGGAGGACACCTCACTCCAGTGTGTGTGTGAGCATGTAGATCCTGCACTCCTTTTTGTCCTGCAATTTTTCTCTCTCTGTTTTGCCCTGCAGTTGCACTGAGCCCGGCAAGTGCTAAGGAACCAAAACCGCTGCTGCGTTCCTGCAGAACCAGCCTGGAAGAGGGGAGATATTCAGGGATACCCCAGAACTGACTAACCCAGAGATCTGCAGCAGGGCTGGGGGTTTCAGC